CTACTACTACTACTACTACTACTACTACTAATATTGATACTACTACTACTCCTGCTGCTACTACTACTACTACTACTACTACTACTACTACTACTACTACTACTACTACTACTACTAATACTAATACTAATACTACTACTACTACTACTACTACTACTACTACTACTGCCACCACCTCCACCGCGACCACAACCACGACCACGACTACTACTTCTACCTACTGCTCCTACTCCTACTGCTACTGCGACTCCCTCTTCTGCTACGGCGACGGCGACGGTGACTGCCACTGCTCCTGCTGCGACTTCTACTACTTGCTACCTGCTACCTACTACCTCCTACCTACTACGTGCTACCTACTACCTACTCACCACTCCTACTACCCCTGCCGCTGCCGCCACTGCGACCGCCATCGCCACCGGCACCAATGTTGCTAGTGCTACTGCTTTGGCCACTACTACAGCTACTACTACGACGACGACTGGTCGTACTACTACTACGACGACGACTACTACTACTACTTACTACCACTGCGACCCCTGCTCCTATTGCTCCTACCACTCGTCCTACTACTACAGCACTACTACGATTACTAAGACTACTATGTCTATGACTACAACTACGACTATGTTACGATTACGACTACTACCACGACGGTTACGATGACTACTACGACGACGACCACTATGACAACTGCGTGGACGACCACGATGACCACGACGACGACTACTCCTACTCTCTATTGCCATCTACTCTACTAGTATCTACTATTATCTACTACTATCTAAGATCTGCTATCTACGACACCTATCTACTACAAGCTGCTACTAGCTACGACTTAGTACTATCTATCGCCTACTACTACCGACTACCACTGCGATGCCTACTACGACTACTGCTGCTACTGCTGGTGCCCGTACTCACTGCCACTCCTTGCCGCACTAAGGTAATAGCGCTGGAAACTCTACCATTGTCAGTGTTTCTGTTGTTGTTGTTCTTGTTCTGGCTTCCCGCTGTTGTTTGGCATTGCCACTGGGGCCCGAGCGCCAAGGCCTCGAAAAGGCTGTCACTCTCCTTGTTCACTTCCAGCTGCACGATTCGCTGCCGCGCCTGACATGCTGTGACAAATCATCAGTGACCGGTGAGGGTTTAGTTGTGTGTGTGCGCGTTGGGATTCAGGGTTCACAATCCCACCAATCACCACTCGGCGCTTCCAGCCGAGGCCCCATCAAGACTGATGCGATGAAGACGTTTGTCCCCTGAACTGAACTGCTTTCGACTCGCACTCTCACAACCACAGGCAGGCGAGGTCTCCAAAACGAGTCCGACGTCCGACGGGCACATTCAGCCCATGCCATCCCTACTGCAGGCCCGGAATGGCCCGGACTTACTAGAACGCAACCGGTATCTGTGTTGGTTCGCGAAACCGGCGACCTATAAAACCGAACCAAGCTCGACACTTGGGATTTCTTGGGGCTTAAGGGGCTTGGCCGAATTCCCACCCGGAAAGAATTCAATTTCGAACTATGCTTGGCTGGATCGGCAGGAGCAATATAATAGGGACAATGCAAGATCAGCCTTTACACTAGCAGCGTCAGAGACATCACTAACAGCATGAACAAATGACATGTATGAGTCATGTATGCCGCATGTAAAATATGAACTACTTATTGTGGACCCCACACAACGTTCAAGCAGTATTCAAGCTCTGTCCTTCTTGAGATCACCGTGCAAACGGTTGATTTCCTCCTTCAGCTTCATCGTGTAGCCTGCCCAAAGTGCCACACCAGGTCGACGATGGGCCTGATACCCCGGGGCCACCACGGATTTTTTGACGGTGGTTCACGTGGCCCACCAACTGAGCATGCTGGTCCGACACCTTGCAGCGAGCAAGGAGTTGCAACAGTTGTGGACAAGAGGGAACGACGTCACGCAAGGAAGGAATGGAGGGAGAGAGCTGGTTCTGTCCGGGTGTCGTTGCTTCACCCATCAACAAGGGAAGTTTTCATCCCGAAGATTAAACGGGCGAACAGTGACTCTTTTTCCGTCTGGTGGGATCCTCTCACTACGTGGTCTGGATAACCAGAATCACCTGACGGCACTGGTGTTACTAGAGGTACACGACCACTGCGTGCCATGCTGTGACGAAACTTTGCATGGCAAGGTGCTAGGCCCGAGGCACTAGTTTTCACAGATTTAGCTCTGAGGCGATTGCCTCTGGCAGACACAATCAACTCTTGAGCTTGGCCACCAAGCACCAATCGAATCAAAGCGGCTTTTGCTTGGAGCTGCCGACTCCTGGACCCTCAAGCCCCATAGCCTATTGGCTCCACCTCTTACAAGATTCCGGAGCGCCCTAGCTTGAAAGTTTTCAATCAAGCCCGTAGCTGCACTAATCTTCCAGAAACAAGGGCCAGCACCCTGTGCAGGTCATCCTCCATGCAAGCCAATGCCTGCCATTCTCGACTCGTCATAAGCTGACGATGAGAAGCTAGAATCCGACGCTCCGGGTAGATGTTTGTAGTGCCACTAGGTGCCTCACAAGCCTGCCACAAACCGCACTGAAACAGCAGATTCCTTCGAATGCTCACGTGCTCTCCATGCAGGACTCCGAAACGCCGAGACTGCAAAGAGCACGGGACGAAGACTCGCCTCCTTCAGGCTGAGGTTTTCGGCCTCCAGCGACTCGCAATCCTGAAGAAGCAAGGCTTTCCATACACTCAAAGGATAGTCCCTTCAATGTCACCTGCTTGAACTGGCGCAGCGACAGGCAGAGCTCCCGGTTCTGCAGGCGAAGTTCCGTGCCTTCGGGCCTCGGCCCCGCATGGCACACGACCAGTGGCTCGGTACACTTCGGCCGAGGCTGCAGCAGGTCCTGCAGCTCCTGCGGCCTGATATACCCGACTTGGCCGTCTATCATCTGCATGTGTTGCAACATGACAAGCTGGGCAGACCCCTGTCCCTGCTCCATCAGCCAGTCCCATGCCTTTCGAGCTTTGGTGCTGCAAGACTTTGCATGCTGCCACGAAGTGCCTTTACGTGTGACTACATGTCTTACACTTTACAGCCTGAGCAGCCGTCAAGCAGCACTGCCCAAGCTGCTGAGGCTTGGACGGCATCGGCACCATGCCAGCGAGATGCTACTGCCATGGCCGCCTTGCGTCTGCCTAAGCGCTCTCCTGGATGCTCATTCTGGCATTGTAGGTAATTGCCCACGCACAACCTCTCGCTGCGGTGCACGCACATGGCATGGAGACATGCTGAGACTTGTGCCCAAAAGAATCTCTGCCCTCTGCTTCCACAGCCTGTGCAGGTCCAGAAGTACGCAGCACGTCTTCAGGAACTGTGACTGGGTGTCGAGCAGGGTCTCTTGCTGCGCAGCCTGTCGGGTGGCATTTAGAGATGTGTAGAGGGCCGTTATACATCCGATTCGCCAGGAAGCCTGTGCAAACATGATTTCAAGGAAGATGCAGTCCGCTTCCTGTGCCACCTGTGGCCACCCTCCGGCCTCCAACGTCGAAGATGCTTCCGCAATCTCGAGCTTGAGGGCCGCCAGGGAAGCCTCCTGGGCCTGACGGAATTCTAGCGCTTCTAGCGATTCGCTCTCCTAAGCTTCGAAACTGCAGGGTGCACCGCTGTCGCAGCATTTTCGACTCGAGGAGTCTCAACAGCTGCAGGAGAGCACCGCGCTCTGCATGGTTCGACCGGTCGTGCACCTGGCAAAAAAATCCACCAGAACTTGGGACAGGGCGTTGATTCTTGGTATCCACAAGCTTTGTGGTTCTCCACTCGAAGGCGCCATGAAGATGGGACGCAGGGCTGCTGCGGCCGCAGGGGCTGCAGCAGTAGCGACCTGAATCCCGGAAGCACAGCAAAGGTGGTTCCAAGTCACTGTCCACATGCTGCCTTGACTCGTGTACATGGTGAGTGGAACATGACACGCACGAGTGTCACGATTGGCACTCTGCACTTCATGTCTCACCGACACCCAAAGGCTGCAAACATAATCAGGTCTAGAATGCAAGGCCTCTGTCGCAAAAGATTGGGCGGTCCATGCAAGCGTGGTTTGGCAAGTTCTTCCCAGGCTTAGCGAGTGCCTTTAAGGAGACAAGGGGAAGCAGTTCCTCTGTCTTCGAGAAACCCCTAAACCCACCTCGAAGCACTCGGCGCCGACGACGCGCCCGGCTCCCGGCACCTCAGTCCGAGGGTCGGTGCCTCCTCCGTCGGTCCCCCACTGCCATGCCATCTCGAGCCAAGATTTCTGTTGGCAGTTTTTGTGGGCTTTGTTGTGAATTGTTCTGGTGTTGCTTGCTTTTCTTGTGGTTTTCGGAGCATGGCCCCCTGGTCCTGCCTGTCCTCCTCGTCTGCTTGGAATTCTGTTGTGTGTATTATTGGTCTTTTTGCTAGTTTTTCGGGTTTCAGGCTTCCGCAGCCACAGGGCTCTCAGCGGCAACTCGTCTCGAGAATCTGACTTGCTTTTTTGTCTAACCTCATTTGGCGATTCCGGCTGATCATGTCTTAAACACGCCCCCTCACTTGACGATTCCGGGTCATCATAAAGCGTCAAGCTATGCTGGAATTGCACTCCACAAGGCTTCGTTCCGCTTCAAGCTATTGGAGAATTCTGATTCGCAAGGTGCTGTTTAGCAGAAAGCTACTGGGGGCTTGCGATGGCGATTCCGATACATCATATATATATATATATACATATATGTATACATACATACATATATATATATATATCATTTATTTCTCTATGTACTTATTTATTCATCTATCTATTTGTTTTATTTTTGTTATGGCTACGCCTCTTTCTTTCTTTCGCTATTCCTTTGTTTCTTCCTTCCTTCGCTTCTTTCTTTAATTCGTGCCTTTCCTTCTTTCTCTCTGCGGTCCTTCCTTTGTTTCCTTCTCATTTATTTATGTATTTCTTTATTTATTTCTTGCGTTCGTTCGTTGTTTCTTTATTTCTGTCTTTCTTTGTTTCTGTATGTATTTCTTTCTTTCTTTCTTACTTACTTTATTTATCTCTTTCTTTCTTTCGTTATTTCTTTCTTTCTTTATGTCTTTTTCTTTCTGACGTGCCTTTTCTCTCCTTCGTCCGCAAAACCCAACCAAAACCAGACAAAAAATACGGCCCCCGTGCCATGATGGCGCACTTCGAAGCATTAACCCTTCCCGGCTCGCAAGAACGGTCAAAGTCTCGGCCAAAACCGCGCAAAAATACAACTATCAGCGAGATGATCAGGAAATGTGCAGCCTTTGGCAGACCCTAGGCCGGCCTTACGCTGCCAGGGCTCCAGCGAGGACGCGCACCATGCATCAATGGCGGAGGAGATGAGCTCCCCATCAGCAGCCTTCGTCACATCCTCCTGCGGCGCAGACCCCTCGGGCCCCGGGCCTTTGACTTTAACTGCTGTCTCAGGGGACTACAGGCCCGATACTCCTGATACTCACCCGGCGGCACCCCACGCAACATGAAGTACAGCATGGCTGCAACTGCGGAGGAAAGACGAATGAGACATCGACGTCTTCAGACAAGCTGCCCCACCTATTTCTGGCACAGGTTCCGGCTGTAGCTGCCGAAGGGTTCAGGCGGAACGAAAACGTAATGATGACAAATGCATCCTCGCCGGCGGCTGCGGCGATGCAAGAAAGGCTGCTCCTGAGAAAATCATGGAAACTCGGGCACTTCCGTCATGTTCCTCTCCCGGAGCTATTAGAGTGTCGCACGTCTATCTCGCATCTGCTTTCCAAACACTGACACCCGAGTGACAGGCGAGGTTTGTCTGGTGAGATGCATGGAAGATGTCAGACGGTGGTTTAACTCAGCTGTCCGCGCACCTCCTAGCCAGCGGCAGCCAGTCAGGGCTGCTCCGAAAGTCCAGCTGTTGCAGTACTGCGGCGGTGAGCGCGTCGCCCAAACTGCTTTGCCGCCTACATGGATGTGCCGATGCAGGGCTTCGCAACATCTCGTGCAAAGAAACGGCAGTTCGGTCGGAGCACTCCAAGACCGGCTCGCGCAGCAAAGGGTCCGACTGGCCAGTCGGCTGCAGGCAAAGCTCCCGGAGCCTCGTCAAGCAGAGAATTCTTGAACCAAATTTCCTGGGGCCCGGGGTTGGGGAGCTTGTACACAATTTCCAGAGGGAGGGATAGAAACGAAAGCTTGTGCTGTGAGGCAGAGTTCTATCGAGACCTACCTAGCTTTCCACGCTTAATCGAAGATAATCTGCACTGCTGGGCAACTCCAAAGGCTGCACGAGTGTCTGACTCGCTGGTGGCATGGCCCTGGCCCTTTTTATCATGCCTTCGCTGCGTAACACTTCGGCCATGAGAATAACGAATGCTGAGGTGGCTCGGAGGCTGCTTTCTGCTCTCTTCGACGTGCCGTTCGTGCCGGTCCCGGCAATCCATTCGGTGCCTTCGGTGGAAGTGAAGTTGTCGTGCTTCCAGGGCATCTGAGACCTCGACAGCCCATCCCTGCAAAGGCTCTCCGCCAAGAGGTGTCTCAAACAATCGGTCGGCATTCTCCAAGAAGTTCGCCGCACTGCGCAAGCCCACTTCATCGCCTCCAGGTGGAGTTGTTGGTCATCTTGCCATGCTGGAAGGACTTCGTCCGCTTGCGTTGCTTGTGGAGGTTGGCGGACTTAAGTGAGGATAACCTGGCAAAGTTTACGAACCAGGGTCCCGCCTCCAAACACCTTCCCTATAAGCCGTACCGCAACATGCTCTATCCCGACTCCTCAAGCCGTCGCTTTGACATATTGATCATATTGACATCCAAGTTTCCACCTGCTTGGCTAGCACTTGGCACTGGTAAGATGCGAGTGAGGTCATGCAGCTCTCGTCGTAATGCATCACATTCCTAGGGGTCTCTCCCTTCTCTTGCTCTTCAAAGCTTTGACAACGATTGAGAAACGATGCTTCACGCCAGGTATCATGCATAGCAACGCTGTAGCATTTGGATTCTGAGGTGCACAGACTCCGCAACTCGTGAACGATGGCTGTCTCCTCAGGAGCAGAGCAGGACAACCCAAAGCAGCTTTGCATGCATCGTCCACGCCATCTTCATACCAGGTAGCACTTGTCAGGGCTGCCTCCATCTCGGAGTTCTCTTCAACCAGCTCACTCTGCCTCTCTTCGTCTGCATCATGCTCTTCCAAAGCTGCCTGTGCGGCACAAGTCTAACAAGTTAACCTGCGCGACACAGACATTTAAACACCTCTAACTACACAAGTAGATGTCCGTGACCCCAGCACTCACACGAGTCATCGTTCATGGAGGAAGGAGTTGGCTCCTCCTCCAAGCCCCCCATCCCTCTCCACGAGCTTGGCGCAGGGTCTTGCCCTCAGCTTCCGCCCCTCCCCGGTGCCAGGGCCTCAGGGCCTGACTGTCAAGTCCGCGACCGATTGGCTGTTGTGAGACAATGCCGGGACATGAGCGCCCTCGCTCTCGCTCTCTCTCTCTCTCTCTCTGTCTCTCTCTCTCTCTCTCTCTCTCTCTCGCTCGGTCCGGCCACATTGTCCCACTCCTTCCTTCCCAAGGTGAAGGGGAGAGGTCGCCCTCCCAGGTGGAGGAGCGAACCCACACTCCCGCTTTCTGGAGCTTCTACACTCTACAGGCGAAGGGAAGCTGCGAGTTCGGCTCCCCCCGCACGTTTGAAGAGAGGAAAAGGTCGAAGTGAGCAGACAGACGACACAGACTCAGACAACGGCTTTCCCTTGTCCCCCAGGCTCTCTCTCCGTGAGGCTCACCTACAATGCTGGTCACTGGTAGTCGACAAGCCTGTGCCCCCTACTCGACCAAAACATGTGCTTGAAGAAGCACTCTCACCAACATCACGCCATCCGAACCTCCGGCTCTGGCCCGCTAGCCACTGGCATCTGTCAGACAGCTCTTGCTCAAGATCTAAGGCAGGGCCCCGGAGGGGATCTCAACGTCCAGGGTCCAGCGCTCTGGAAAGCTCTCTCTGTCTCTCTCTCTCTCTCTCTGTCGCTCTTCTGTGTTTCGAGCGCTCGGCAGTCTCGGTCGCCCGAGTGATACACCCCATCCAGAATCGCATTCAATGGATGGGAGGGTCTAGAACAGCGACAACTACCCCGTGTCCGATGTGAGCAGCTGGCGGTGGCTGTCGGTGCGCTTTATCGAGCTGCAGTTTGCGTGCTTTGTCTCTCCGTCGGTTTGTCTGTCTCTCGCTTTTTTCTCTGTCCGTCAGCCTTTTTCCATGTCTCTGGCAGCTCTCTCTCGCCTTGCACTCGCTCAGGACAAGGGCTGCCTCCGAGGACTCAGACCTGAGGTGCGGAGCCGTTCACAAAGGCGTCGCCAGGTCTCGAGCACAAGCAAAGCCCGTAGCACAGCAGAGAGGCTTCAAGTGCTGCGCTTCCTGCGCTGCCTTGAAAGCCTCGATTCGGAGCTGTCGAGCCGATTCCAGCTGCATCCCTCAGGCACCGCAAGCCACAAGCTGCTTCTCTTGTCCCTATAGTCATCTATAATCATTTAGGATGCAAAATGCGCACGAAGGCTCTGGTCTCGGCTTCTGCACGCTGGATGGCCATCTGCTGGGCTGCGGCCTGTGCTTCCCACAGTTGCCCTTGGCACCCGAACTTCCCGGACCCGCCTCACTCTCCACTCGGTTCTCGCGCCGCCGCTCTGCAACAAGCTGTGCCTACGAGCAGGAAGAAAAACCATCTGTGCCAGAGCACGTGCAGTCACCGAGCTGAACGTCGAGCCGAGCACCTCCAGGGAAGCCGCAGCGATGGATTCCCGCTGGCTCAAGGCACGTTCCGCTTGGAGCTCTGCTTGGCCTCAGAGATCCTAAAATCTCTTTGCGGCTAGCAAGTGCGCACCCCACTTTGCTCAGATCCAAGCACGACTTCAGCTCGTCCTCCACCTTAATGCTAGAGTGTCAGCTGAAGCATGGTTCAATGCGACTTACTTCTGCAAGGTAGCAGACAACACTGGAACTGCATTCAAGCAGCATTCAGAAGATGCTGGCGAAGATCGTCGGCAGAAGCCTGCTCCTTGTCTCATGCTTTGAAGCGAGACGGAACGTGCTTCCACATGATTGCTCTGCGATTGGACAATCTCCCAGTTCAGTACTTCACCGAAAAGGCCGTGCTTAGCAGAATGTGCAGTTCCAAGCCGCATGGCCCGAAGCCGCTCCAGCTGTGCCATCCATCGCTAGCTCATCCAGGTAGGCATTGTGAGTCTTGCCGTGTCTGAAACGGTCCCCAATAAAACACAGATACAAGCGTATTACCTTCGACTCATAAAATCTAGGGCATAAGCGGCACGGATAATAAGGCTGGTCGACCATGACAAGCTTCGACAGGGCTCGGACTTGCACATGGATCAGGAGCAGTTGGAAGCATTCCGAGATGCGCCACGCATCACGTCCCTACTGCTCTGCTTCTATGGAGTCTTCACGAACGGCTTTTGTCGCTCGTGCCTTCTCTGGACGCGCTGTCCCGTCACACGTTCGCAGACGCCCTACAGCTCCTACGATTGATCTCGCTGGCCTCGTAGAAGATCCCTGTGAATCCTGCGCAATGTGTATGCAGATGGTGTTCCTCCATCGCCTGCCATAGATCGCAAGCATGCCGCGGCGGACGGAGTTCTTGGCATGCCAACACCGAAATTCAGGTGGACGCCGCTTGCCACTCTTGACCGCCTATCCGCCCATGTCCAATCAGAGCTCCTTGTCATCCCGTGGCCGCTTCAACCAGGACTCCAAACCTGTGAAGGGCTCCGGCATGAAGCGGAGCCTGCATAGCCTGCTGAAGGCGCAGGTCCTTGGCCCTGCCCCTCGCTTGGCCGAGACTCGGAAGGAGGGCCCCGCGCAGCGAGCTGAGACTTGTGCAAAGTGGAGGGCGGGTGCTTGGTAATGAGCCGCGGCGTCGGGCTTGAAGGTCTGAAGGGTTTGCGCTCCTTTCGAGGTGTGGCCTTTGCTTCCACCTCACCAGGCAGCAAGCCATCAACTTGACATGTCTTGCGTTTCGAAACACCACTATACACATGGCCCGGACGCCTGTGCACGGGGATGCTCAAATTTGGGAGACACTGCTTTGCGTCGTTGTGCATTCCCCTGTCTGTCTGTGCCAGGTGCGAAATCGCCACCACGAGGAGATCTCTCCTTCGCTGGGCTTGTGGCAGTTGAGTCTTGGCTCGCCTCGAGTGGCCAAAGTAGAGGCCAAACAAACCGATGCCCGGGAGACAAAGACCCAACTGAGGGCTTCATGCTTCGCTGCTTCCCAGTTGCCGTCATGGGGCTTCGCACCGGCGAAGTTGCTCTTTCGTGCCTACCAGCCGCTGTCCTACAGCTCCTGGCCGGCGAAGTCGCTCTGCGGCCCAGTGAGACTTCGCCGATGTCAGAGAAACTCTGCCCGCTGCGTAGGCTTCTTGCGGGCACCGTCGGAGTAGATGGGGCCTGCAAAGGGAGCTTTCGAAAATTCAGCCGATGCTGTGGTTCTTCTCGCTGAGGCCTTCACAGCCTTCTCAGGTTGGGCTTCCGGCTCGGTTTGCACTTCTGCATCTCTGCTTGCGGGCACAGCCTCCGAACGGGCTAAGAAGCTTCCTCTCCTCTCCACCCCTGCCATCCCTGCCCACCATTCGCCGTGCTTCAGCTTCGCTCCGTGCCTGCTCGCTGGGCCGCCGAGTGCCAGGCACCTCTCCCTCCGGTGCCTCGCTAGTGGGAGAGGTATCCTTGGTAACCTTGCAAAGCTCGTGGCAGGAGCGTGAGGGGTTGCAAGAAGTTGCAAGTGCAGTGCAAATCCCAGGCAGCTACGAGGGGCCTTAGAACCTGCTGCTTTTGGGGGTACTGCCCTGCAGACCAAGGGGCATCTGCGTCCGGAGCCTCAAAGGTTGTAGAGATACTGAGGTGACCATCATCCTGTGGGTCAGGGGCTTCCACGTCCTCGGGCACCATGGCGTCCTGCGCCAGCAGGCGCTCCAGGCTCCAGAGATTGTTCGTCACAAAACAGATCTCAGATGACTGAGCGGCCTTCTCGCCGACGCTCCGGCGGATTGAACCTCCATCTTCGACCAGTTCCGTCCCAGCATGAGGGCTAAGGTTGCAAGCCTCGGCGATAAAAGTCTGCACTGGGCTGCGTAGCTGCACGCAAAAATGAAGCCCGGGCACCTCCCCAGTCAGGCTCTCTGCATCCATCAGACAGGAGCCGACGCCACTGCCCCTCTGAGAGATCTCACAAGAGACTGGAACCTGCGACAAACAAAGGAAGACATCTTCTTGCAGGTGAGGTTGCCTCCACCTCAAGATCCCTTCAAACCGAGCAGCATCCGCATCAACTTCGTCTGACAAATGGCCATTGGAGAGCGTAGCTTGAGACTGGTCAAGCAACACTGACTCCTGCGAGATCTGCGACACACGAGCCAGGGGCGATACCTCAAGTGTGACGTGCCGATTCACTGTCACACACTCCCGGCACTGGTCAGAGTTGAAGCACATGAACGCGCCAAGCTGCATCCGCACAGGCTAGCGTCAAGTCAGTAGTGGTCATCGACGGGCTCTGCGGGCTAGCATCAGGGTCCGAATGAAGGCTGCTCCAGTAGAATGATGCCTTGGGACAAGGGCGCCAACAAGGGCAACGTGTGCAGTCGTAGCGAAGACACTAAAGTCACGAGAACCTCCAGCACAACCCAAGTTAAGTGCCTGCATCGTGTCTCTGGTCGAGGGCTGCCCGTCCAGCAAGTGAAGCGAATTTCGCAAAGTTTCTAGGTCTACTTCCGCACCGAGGCAGGCACCATCCTGGGATTTCGAGCCATGATCTGGGAAATGAAATGGTCAAGGCGATAGGGGTGGTTCAGGGCTGAGGGCCAATGTAAGGCAAGAGGACACCCGTATCATCCGTATCTCCATGGAGAGCAGATTCGAGGCTGCGGTAGCAACCGGTTCAAGCTGTTCTCGTCTTGCGTAATCGATGCTAGATTGCCGCTGGATTCCGCTGGATTTAGATGGCTAGTAAGACAAAATGTCCTATCTTTCGAAGGACAGGCTCGAGCGGACCCGGGCTGGAGAGAGAGTTGGAGGCCTGGCCGCGCAAAGCCAGAGCGGAGCCACGGAGCGCATCCTCGCGGCGCCCGCGCAGGCGCGCGTGCTCCACCAAGACGGCCTCCCAAATAAGTGTCTCTCTCTCTCTCTCTCTCTTCTGCACAGCTCTCTCTCTCTCTCTCTCTCTCTTTGTGAATCGGAATTTTGTCGCTTTGCCCTATGTCCTTGACAGACTTGGCTTCCTCCCGCAGCTGCTGCCGAAATTCCGTCGCCAAGGCATTCTCAAAGTGCAATGAGTCACGCAGAGCTGCAGACTCTTCGGCAAGTTCCCTCGTTTTGCGGGCCTCAAAGTTTGGCACAAAGCAAACTGCGCACTTTCTCCAGGCCAGCTGTTAAGAAATCAAACCTATCGGAAGAAATGCAACGATTCTGAAACGATGTGTTGACCAACAAAAGTTGCTCCAAGCTTCTGTCTCCAGCGAAGCGCCATAGTCAGCCAGTATGGCATGAGACTCCAACACAACTTGCGCCAAGGTGACGGACTCTTCTTGCATGTACCGGGCATCCTCTGCAGAACATCTCGCCTCTGAACAGAGTGAGCAGGCTGCTTCCAAGTCCTGGCATGAGGGCTGGCAGTGTGGATCAGAGCAGCTTGCAGACATGGCCGGAAAATGGATGCCCCTCCTCGATTACCGTCGCCGATATGCTGGAACCTCGCAACCATTAGCCACCAGCAAACGCATGAACAAGCCAGTCTGCCTTCTGAGTCTAAGTCTTGTGTTCCTCATTAAAACACTTTCCCGAACTTTGACAGCACTCCAAGACCTTCCCCCTTCTGACGCGCCTTCGACCTCCAGCCACTCGCTGTGCTCTCGAGCTCGCTGCACTTCAAACTCACCTCTTTGCAGGGCCATCGCATGCTTCTGCGCCGACTGCCGCTCCTCGGACCGTGAAATGCTGCGCTCTGCATGCAGCACATCTCCGCTGCCGCTTGGGGACATAATGGATCTCCGACCGGCAGCTGCTGAGTGCTCGTTCGGAGGCAAGGAGCTCCTGCACGGCGGAAGCACCCAGAAGTCAGAAGTCTTTGGCGCATCGTTCCACATCCCTGTCCTGCTGCAGCTGCAGCGAGTCACTCTGCATTGTCTCCGCGCCGCCAAGCATCGCACATGCTTCGGGGGCCCTGGTGTGGAAATGCGACGCTACAACAAGCGCATCCTCACGAGCTGAGCCTGAACTGCGAGCCGCTGCGAGCCGATAGCAACGGAGACTTCGCTATGCGGACTTCAGGCAGTGGGGCAGAGCATGGTGCCTCCTGGCTGATGCTCTGCAGAGCCTCCGCTGCAGCGACGCCTTGAAGCGCTCATCCAACAGCCCATGCCACTCCAAGGAATCCGCAGCAACCTGGTGGCCGCATGAGGGCAGTGAGGACGAGATCCTTCTGAGCCTTGGCCGCTTAGCCCCGGGCAATCGCAAAGCCCGAGTGTTCTCCATGCCGGTCCTCCTCCTGAGCAACCGAGCAAGATCTTCAGCTGGTCACCCAGAAAGGCTCTGACAAGTCCTCGAACGTGTCTTCAGTTGCTTCGCATGCTGCAGCACCAGCGAGGCGTGTCTGGGCCACCAAACCAGGTGCCAGGGAGTAGAAGGCGGATGCCTGGTTCGCCCATGTCTGCCCATTGCCCACCCCTCAATCTCAGGACCGGTTTGAATAACCAGCCTCAGCCGCTTGAGTTGCGATATCCAACCCAAGAGCATTGGGCTGGATCTTCTGCTCGATCATCTCCATCAACAGCTCAGGGCACATGAGCTTTGAAGTGCGTCAACCCAATGCATCTCCCGTTGAACTGAAAACTGCATGCAAACACGCAGACTACGACGAATACGCCCTGAATCGACTAGCATGGAGCCGTGCGACGCGACGCCTCCAACACCAGGCTACTCTTCGACCGGGTCATGCCGGGGCCACTGAATGCGCCCAAGGCAGTTGTGAAGCTCACCCTTGTAGGAGCCTAAAGGTCGGGTTGGATGTGAGGAAGCCAAAGCGGCGCAAGCATGCGCAAGCCCTGTGTGCTTCAACGCGGATTGAGGCTGCTACAAGTCTTTCACTCGGCATTTCACGAAGAAGTGCCAGGCACGTGTGCCACTTCTTGCTTTTCCTGAGTGATCTAGTGAGTCTGTGGTCAGATCTCTGGTCTCTGTGGGAAGGAATGATCAAGGTCAAGACTAGTGACCGGGTGACGGAAGGGAGGCTCCCCAATGCACGCCCAAGCACGCGGAAGCACTGATTGCCGAGTTCATGGTGGGTATGCCCAGGCGGAGTCCAGCAGAGACGGCCTCACAAAGCAGCTTCAGGCCCCACTGCCACTGCCAGCCATGATCCTTGGTGCCAAAATCCCATCCTGTCGTCCGATGCCGTCTCTGCTTTACCAAGCCCAAGCCAAGTCTCGCAGGCGCTGACTGCGCATCCATAAGTCCTTGGTTTTTGTCGGTTCTGCACAAGTCTCCAAGCCCTAGCCGGCCAATTGCAGTGAGTAAGTTGCCCGCACGTCATCCGCCGATTTGTCCTGCAACTTCTAGGATTCTAGGCCGGCCGGCCACTTTCGCTGAGTTCATGCACTTTCGTTTCTGGGCCCAAGTCACTGGCCTCTCTGAGGTGAGGAGCGTCGATTTCCAGATGCCTTCGCACGCCCTTCCAAAGGTGCAGGCCCCACTGCCACTGTGACACCTGGCTGGACAACACACACAATAATGCACAGGCGAAGCAAGCATCTATCCTCGCAGAAACTGAGAGCACGCTTGGCGTATGCGACGTCAGGACTATGATGCTAAACACATCCTTTGGCTTTGCATCGACCAAAGACGAAAATTGGCTCTGACGCCCATGCCAACCACTTCAGCAGCAGTACTCAGACAAAGCGCACACATGCCCACAACAGGTGTTATCTGTTAAGCTGCGAGCTGCGAGAAAAAAAGACGGTCAGAGGGACTGCACACAGAGATGCCACAGGGGGATGTCGACAACTCATGACAACTCAGTTTGCTTGCCACATGCGGGAGCGAGACGTGACAAACTTGCGGTAGGCAGCACTAGTAGTATGCTCACTCTCTCTCTCTCTCTCTCTGCACCGGTACGTGCGCACAGCACACTTCTTTCTTCACGGCCCTCTGGCTCGCTGTTGAGATACCCCTGTTAGAGGCGCCCATTTGTCCCCGTTCGTCTATTTGCACACCGCGCTGTTTAGCTTTGAGAGTGCACGCAAGCCGCGAACTGTAAACATCAAGGCCGGAGAACGAACAGAACTCGCACCTGACTGCACTGTTCAGACCATCCCAGGACGTCTGAACAGTGAGCTCGCAAAGACAGGCACATGCGAATTGGAAGGGGTGTGCCAGCACCTCTGGGTTTGCCGATTGTTGTTAGCCTTGCGAATGCTTCGCGATTGGAATCAAGAAGCAGATTGCCCAAACACCTTGCGGCAGCAAGCGAGAGCAGCATTGAAGCTGACCACGTTCGCGGCAATGCGCTTGCCGGGGCGGTGTGCGAAGAGCTCCTACCGATCCACACGAGCGGTGCGGAGCATCACACGGTTTCTCATCTGCACGGTCAACTGTGACGACCATTGCCGTCCTGCAAAAACTCGAGCCCTCTTTGCCAATGCTGGCGATACCTGAGGATTGATCCCACTTCGCTCCGATGCTGTCCCAAAGAGAACACTGGCAGCTGGGAGACTCGAAGGCACTGATGGCAGAGTTGTAGGTCATGCTGATCGGTGCCAGACCCTGCACCTCATCAGATCAGGGAAATGAGAGAAACAACTAAAATGTGGCCGACGGGCCATGGCAAACGAGGCGCCCTCAGGATGTCGTAGACGTGAACCGCTTGTGCCCAGCTACCGCTGCGGCCGCCACAGGCAGTGATCGCCTCACTTCGTTTGCCGCAGGCGGACGACACATTCAATTCGTCTCGCAGCATGCGTTTGTGCAGTGTCGCGCAACACATCAAGCATCAGAGTTGCCGAATCGAAAGCGATGGTGTTGGTCTCGATGCTGCGGTCTTTTTTCATGTGGGCCAGGATGGCGCAAGCCCGGAACCACTTCAGAGCTTTGGCGCATGCTGCCACCTGGCTCGGACAGGAGACGACGCAAGGAAAGTATTGGCATCCAGCCCGCATCTTGGTAGCGAACTGCTTATACAACTGCCAGGGTAAAGGTCAACGGTCAACACGAGATGCAGTCGTTAAGCTGGGTCCTGTGGGATTTTGGTACAGTGCGTGCACAGATAATTGAAGGCTGTCGACACTCCATCCAGAACGTGAGCCTGTTCTCTTCACACGTTACTTTTGAGCTTTGGCTCGTTTCCGCACGACCAGTGCTGGTTGCCCTCAACACGCGTTGTCACGCGTTCAACTTCATGCAGGGGCCGATCAACGAGCTACAGGCGCAACTTTGGCCCATCCCCCGTCTGACTTACACGGGTAGAGGCAAGCCTGTCACCTGCACCTGTTGTTGCAGTAAGTTTGGTGACCTTTGAAACCCAAATCGCACAAATCCAAGCACATGCACCCGTTTACGTTCAAGACTCTGGCGGTCGTGTGGGCATGAAGGCAGCGCTCCCGATCAACTGAGTTCTGGGGCTTCGGCTGTTGCACTGCAAGTGATGAGATTGGGCTGCAAGCTCTCAGAAACAGTCATGGACTCGAGGGTGGTCAGCGCAAAGTGCCATTGCCTCTCCTGGAGATCCGACACTGATTGCACCATCGCAGAGGCTTCGTTCACTCACTACACTCTACCCCTTCGGAGAATTGCAGCCACACAGTCCTTGCCGAGCCTGAGGCATGATGTGTTTCACTCCAACCGTCGCGAAAGCTCTTAAGGGGCTCTGGATGCCATCAAGCCACCGGCCCAGAGCCGCTCCGAAGAACACCTGAGTCGGAAGGGTCTGGCAAGATAACGAGGAACTCCATGTGGCGTGTGAAGATGGGAGCCTCGCCTCATCTGGCCGAAGTCGAAGGGACGGCAACATAGCCAACAGCGCCAACACGTCTTCCCAGTTTCGCACGGATCCATCCTGAGAAATATCCTGGACAGAGGCAGAACTGAGAGGATGCGGGGGAGGGCTCTCTGGGCCCCCAAACTAAAAATACCCGAAGCTCTCCCGTCTCCTTTGTGAACTGCACCAGGCTGTCTCGTTGACGCAGAGGCTTTCGCCATGTCGGTATCCGCCGAGAGTGATAATCCTCATTTGAAGGGGTTGGGAATTTGACTTGACTTCAACTCGCACACAGGACCAGGCGGGGCTTTTTCACAGCCCGAAATCGCTCCTCATGCTCACTTTCCCGCTTGGGGTCTTTTTTGTGATCCTTAGGGCCTTAGGGTTTGGCCGTCTAGAGTCTGGGGCAGAAGGAAGAAAAGAATCTTTAAGGGGGCCAAAAAGTACCTAACCGGCCGTACAGGGTTTTTTCACTCCCTGGGTTTGGGGGTCTAAGGCCGAAGGAACAAAAGAGTTTTCGAGGAGGCAAAAGAAACCTAACCGGCCGTACAAAGCTGTTTTCGCGCCCTGGGTTTGAGGGTCTAAGGCCGAAAGAACACAAGAATAAAGAGACATGTAAGACAGAGAGACAAAGAGACGGAGAGACAGAAAGACAGAGACACAGAAGTACAGGGAAAGAAAGAGGGTGACAAAGAAAAAGACACAGAGAGAGGGAGACGGAAAGAGACAAAACGAGAGACAGAGCGAAACCAAGAGGGACGGGGGAAAGCAGAGGTGAGAGAAAGAAGACAAACAGGAAGAGAAATGGATTGAATGAGAGACAGAGAAGCAGCTCGACAGACAGACAGATAGACAGACAGACAGACAAACAGACAGACAGACAGACAGACAGAGTGACGGAGAGACAGAGTGACTGAGAGACAGAGAGACAGGGAAAGAGGAAGAAAAGGAAGAGCAGGGAAGCGGAGAAGACAGTAGGAAAAGGGCAAGGAAAAGGAAGCGAGACACTGCCCTTCGCGGAAAACACTGGAAGGGCAAGGAAGGGAAGGCAAAGGAAAGGAGAGTTAGGATAGGGAGGGGAATGGGAAGGAAACGGAGAGGGACAAGAATAGAAACGTGAGCGTGGAGAGGCAGTCTGCCAAAGGCTACCGAGCCGGGAGCTGCAAGGATCCTGTCACAAGGGAACACGGCCCAGGAGAGAACAAGGAGCAAACCGCTGACGGAAACTAGGGAGTTTGAGAAGTAAGAGCAAACCAAGCGCAAGAGACGATAGAATTAGATGAAACGAGCAAACCGTTAGAAAAAGACGAGGAAACTTGAGAGCACAAGGCACAAGAAGCAAACCGCCCGAAGGAGACTAAACAAGTTTGTCAACAAGGAGCACACCGCTCAAAAAGGACTGCGGGTTTTTATAACAAGGAGCAAGTCGCTCGAAAGAAACTAGAGTATTTGAGAACTCGGAGCTAACCGCTCGACAGAAACTAAAGGATTTGAGAAGAAGGAGCAAACCACTCGAAAGAGACTAAGAGATTGAGAACAAAGGGCAAACCAAGCGAAAGAAACGAGAGAATTTAAGACAACAGGAGCAAACCGATCGAAAAACACTAGACAACTTGAGAACACAAGGAACAAAATGCCCGACTGAGACTAGAGAATGTGAGAACAAGGAGCAAACCGCTCGAAAGAGACCAAAAAAAGATCAGAACAAGGAGCAAACCGCTCGAAAGATAACGAAACTTTGGGACAAAGAAGCAAACCGCTCAAAACACTAGAGCATTTGACAAAAACAAACAAACCCGGAGAATTTGAAAACCGGGAGCAAACCGTTCGAAAGAGACCAGAGAGAGGCTTTGAGAACAAGGAGCCAAACTCTCGAAAGATACTAGAGACTTTGAGAACAAGGAACAAACCAAACGAGAGACTTCCGAGAGAGACGAGAGAATTTTAAAAAACAAGGAGCAAACCGCTCGAAAGAAACTAGAGAAATTCGAAAGAGACTAGAGAACTTGAAAATTAAGAAAACCACTCGAAAGAAACTAGAGACATTCAGGGCAAGGAGCAAACCACTCGAATAAGACTAGGGAATTTCAAAAGACTAGATAATTTGGAAACGAGGAGCACCACTCGAAAGGAGCTAGAGAATTTCAGCAGGAGCCAACCGCTCGAAAGAGACCTACGAAAATTCCGAAAGAGACTACAGAATCTGAAAACAAGGAGCAAACCGCTCGAAAGGAACTAGAAAATCTCAGAAGAAGGAGCAAACAGCTCAAAAGAGACTGGAGAAGAAACAAGGAGCAAACCGCTCCAAAGGGACTCAGAAATTTCGAAAACGTAAAGACAAAACCGCTAAAAAAGACTAAACAAAATTGAAAACAAGGAGAAAACCACTCGAAGCGAACTAGAGAAATTCAGGGCAAGGAGCAAACTGCTCGAAAGAAGCTAAAGAAATTCGAAAAACAAAACTAGAAAGAAACTAGAGACATTCAGGGAGCAAACCACTCGAAAGAGACTAGAGAATTTCGACAGAGACTGGGGAATATGAAAGCAAAGAGCACACCGCTTAAAAACATTAGAGAATTTCGAAAGGGACTAGAGCGTTTCAGAACAAGGGGCAAACCGCTCGAAAGAGACTAGATAACTTCGAAAGAGACTAGAGAATGCGAAAACAAATGAATAATTTCAGAAGAGCAGCGAACCGCTCGAAAAGGACTAGAGAATTTCGAGCTTGAAAAAAAGGAGCAAACCGCTCGAATGGAACCAGAGAATTGCTCGAAGGGGCTTGGGAATTTCGAAAGGGACTAGAGAATTTCAAAACAAGGATCAAACCGCTCGAAAGGAACTAGAGAATTTCAGAAGAAGGGGCAGACCAATCGAAAGAGACTAGAGATATTGAAAAAAGAAGCAAGCCGCTCGAAAGGGGCTGGGGAATTTCAGAACCAGGAACAAACCGCTCGAAAGAGACTAAAGACTTTGAGAACAAGGAGCTCGGAGCAAACCTTTCGAAAGACACTGCAAATTTTGAAAACAATGAGCAAACCGCTTGAAAGATATTACCAATTTCCAGACAGAGAGTACATAATTTAAGAACTTGGGAACTAGAGATTGCTCGCAGGAGAATAGTAGAGAATTCGAGAACAACAGGAGCAAACTAGAGATATTGAAACAAAGAAGCAAACCGCTCAAAAGGGGCAAGCAAATTTGAGACCAAGGAGCAAGCCGGTTGCGAGAGACTAGAGACGAGCAAGCCGCTCGAAAGACACTAGAGAATTTGAAAACAAGGAGCAAAGCATTAAAGAGAGAGACTACAGAAGTTAAGAACGTTGAGCAAACCGACCGAAAGAACAAGGAGCAAGGTTGGCCTAGTCTTCCAACGTAGATGTTGGGCAGGACCCGGCGACCGGAACCGCTCGAAAAACTAGAGAATTTCAGAAGAAGGAGCAAACCGCTCGAAAGAAACTAGAGTTTTTGAAAACAAGGCGCCAACCGCTCGAACGGAACTAGACAAATTCAGAAGAAGGAGCAAGCCGCTCGAAAGAGACTAACAAAACAAGGCGCAAGCATGCGCAAACCGCTCGAACGGAACTAGAGAAATTCGGAAGAAGGAGCAAACCGCTCGAAAGAGACTAGAGAAATTGAAAACAAGGCGCAAGCATGCGCAAACCGCTCGAACGGAACTAGAGAAATTCAGAAGAAGGATCATACCGCTCGAAAGAGACTAGAGAATTTGAAAACAAGGCGTGTGGCCTGTCACTGTGTTTTATGCCTTCCTCGAGGCTTCAGTTGTTCCTTTTGCGTCACGTCCTTGGGTTAGGAGAGCTTTTATGCCAACATCTCAGACCTCGGGCCCGAGGAATCTGGATCCGGTCTGCACAGGGGCCTGTGAAACCCCTGTCCGCTCAGGGGAAGGCTTCTTTGGTCATTGCCACGCGGCGGGGTAGGAGAAAAACCCGTGCGTGGGAGAGAAGGCTTTTTTGTGACAGGGCGGAGGGCTTTCTTTGGACTGTCCATGCGTACTCGAGAAGCTCTGGAGCGCCGGGCCTACCCACAGCAGAGAAGGAGCCTTTCCGACAGTACCCAAAAAAAACCACGAAAAAAACAGCCCTAAAGCAAGCCAAGCCTGTAGTTCTGCTGTCAGGACCCAGACCTTCAGCAACCCTCCAGACGCTGCCCACGCCGATCATGCAAAGAGGGAACCATGGGCGGGTGTGAGCTTCGGGGGTTCTCGCGAAGGCAAAACTTGGCTTTTTCAAGACGAAGCTCGAAGCTGGCTTGGCGAGGGCGAGGCGACCATGCCAGAGACATGCGGCAAGGGCAGCTGTCTTACCTTGCCAGGGCCCCTTTCACTCAGGCCGTCGTAGACTGAGCTGAGCATGAGCAGTGGGGCTGCCTCCCGATCCTCCATGCGCACAGAAGCCGCACGCACGCCTCGTCGTGGCAGTGCTGCCCTTCGGCAGTCGAAGTGCTTCATGGCTGGAGTTCCTACACTCTGCAACGTGCGACCCCCATGTAGTCAGGGATGTCGGGAAAAACTAGGAGGTGCCTAAGTCCCAGAAACCCGAGAGAAATGTCGGCTTGAATCGTGAGAACTCCGCCAGCGCACCATGTTCTCAGGTGGTGCTCTCTTTGCATGGAGCTTGGGCCGTTGACGGACACAGCACCACTCCATGCAGCACGGGCGGCAACCTATGGAGTTTCTTTGCGGCCACCTCGTGCGACTCCGCCTCAGTTTGGCGCTCGCCTTCCATCTCCTCTTGGCGAGCCAAGCCTTGTGAGAGCTGCATGCCGTACATCGGAGTACGAGCTTGAACTGAGGCTAGGGCTCTGAGAGTGGGCCTCAGATGCTTCCATAAGCAGACAACCCCTGACCCTAAACCTTTTGGCAATACAGCGAGCTAGTAACTTTACAATAAACTTGGACATTAGCGAAATGAGATCCAGGCCTGCTGAAGTTTGAGCAGCTGCTCCTGAGTATCCTTCTGCTCCTGTGCTCGGACAGCCAGCTGCTGGCAGTGACCTGAGGGTTCTGCCATACTCAACATCATTGTTCTTTGTGTGTATGCTACAATCATCGCCGTTATACAGGTGTATGAATCAACTATTTTATTTACGTATTATGTTATGCTCCTTTGCTTCTGTATACTAACTTGTGTATTTAAACTTGCTTACGGTTACTCATTGTCGACTTAACAGCTTGTATGCTCGTATTTATACTCACGCTTATACTTATACTTGCACTACATGTTTCAATAATAACATAACTCAAACATGTTCTGAATGGCTGGGACGGCATGCGTGGTGCTAAAGGGGACTAGCTGTTTTTCCTGCGCTGGCTTTGAGCGAACCACCACTGGTGACTTGCACAGCGGCAAGCGAAGAATGGTCAGTCGGCAGAGACCGGGGACTGATTCTTGGCTTGTCGTAGTGAGCTTGTGCTCAAGCCTTCTGAACCATGAAGTAGTATCTCTCCTGAGTTGTCAGGCATGGCGAAGGAACCTGCATGCCATACGCAAAACTCGCAGACAGACCGGCCCATCCAGTTCTCTCAGAGTGTCCAGATGCTGCCCTTTTGTCCACATGCGGTCGAAATATGAGGTCCTTCGTCACAGCTTTCTTGTTCTTGCCGGGTGGGCGAGCAGTGGCTCAGGCTCAATAGCTACATCACATTCGAAGCCAAGGGGAGCTAGCAACCAAAGAGTAAAGTCAACTGGGGTGCGTCTGCTTTGTGTGGCCCACGTGCTCATCCGGCACGCCGCAGAACACATCGATGTCGAACCTGTTCTAGGGCATCCCTGGCATGGAAACAGGTGCTGCAGGCCACAGGCGAGGGGCAGATGCTCGTAGAGCTCTGCAGATTTCGCAATGCAGGGCCCGGCTGACCTGAAGAATTCGAGTCTTGTTCACATGCGAAGAGCCCAGAAACTGATGTCCCGGTATGGCTAATGCTTGAAGGAGGTGGCAGGAAGAGCTGCTGCTCGTTCTCGTCCAACAATTGTGAAAGCGTGCGCACAAGACGCCGCACATACCTGCCAAATTCGACCCCCCTTGGCTGCCGAATGAGAGCTGCAGGAACTGAACAGCATGATATTCTCCTGGTCCTGCATGCTTCAGCGTGTCTACTGGGAGCGTGTCAGATCGTGGACAAAGCCTTTTTTGTTTCTCCCGCCCGAATCTGACCTCAAGCGCTGAAGCAGCGCTGAATCGAAGCGGCATGTCTTGGACATGCGCTCCTACGAACTCCTCGCAACAAGAACACGGATGTTTCAGTTGACCACTCCTCACTCGCAGAGGGCAATCAGCATTGTTGGGATTGCATTTACGCTAGATCACTCGAGCCCATAGGCAACTCCACAGCCTTTACTTTGCCTGGAGACCTACTCCGTGGATCCACTGGTATGATCACTGTGTGTGCCGTCGACACCAGACAAAGCCACACTGGACACCTGCGATGGGTGAGAGCTGCCGCTGTTTTTGGACATTGGCCTGTCTCGATCGTAGGCGCCTGCCGTCGTCTTCTTCGCCAGATGCAAGATCTGACGTTCCAAGACCTCGTAGGGATCCTCCTGGAAGTCACCAGACTCGGGCCAAGGCATGGAGGCCGAGGCGGAACCACCAAATCGGACGATGGTTTCGGTGGATGTGGGGTGGTCGGAGGCTGGCTCCGTCACTTGAATCCCGCCTGCGAAGCCGATGTCCCCCTCACTGAACTCAAGCGGCTCTTCGAGCTGCAGAGTCTCAAGAAAGTCTGCCCAGCGCTTTCCGGAGAGGCTCCGGACTGTCGTCACTACGACGCTACACCGCTTCAGCCGTGCATAACCCACCATGTCCTCATACCGGGTCAGGAACACGCCCAAGAACTGCGCCACCAGCAGGCTCAGCAAAAAGACAATGGCGAGCGTAACGAATACCGCAAGCATGAGGAGCAACACTGGATCCTTGTTGACACCTTCCAGCCTGTTCAGACTGAACATGCCCACAGAAATCTCCCAAAGGGAAATGCTGGCCTTCGGCAAGCCCGTGAAAGCAGCGCTGCTGTGGTCCAAAGAGCTCATGGAACTCGCGAACATGAGAATAAGGAAGACAAGCGCCCCCAAGAACAGACCCAGCTCCTCCAACACCTGAGCACAGCCAAGAGCGAAAGCCGCAAGCCGCATCGACAAAATGGATAGACCACTGAGGATGAGCCAGTAGATGAGCATTGTCATCATGGATAGCGTCGAATACGCATCCTGAAGCCTTGAGCCAGCTGAACAATTTTGTGTGAAGAGCTCGTCGCCTCCGTTTGCCAAGCACCAAATCATAGGATCAACGGCGCATGTTATCACGAGGAACAGAAGCAGTAGAAACTTTAAAACGTTCTGGACATTGAGGAGGTAGGACGGCACCGGAACCGTGCAGCACCAAGTGATGCTGCTTTCTTTACCCTGCCGTATGTCTCGAATCTCTGAACGAAGCTGCCGAGCATGTAGATACAGCAGCTGCGCCATGCTGCCCACATAGACAACAATGCGGCAAGAGAAGGTGGCAATTCTAACGGGCAAATCTGGACTCCCACCATTTAGATGTTGCAGGAAGGACTGGCTGAGAATGAAAACCGACAAAAAGAACATGTAGGCAAAGCGATCTAAGATGAAGAATCGGCAGGCCAGCCCATCCCAAATGGTGTCAGAGACTAGCAAGAGAACTGGATGGCACGCCAGTTCGGTGTCTTGACTTTCAGCTACCCATTCCAGTGCTTGGCTGAAGTTCCCGTCTGCGTCTTGAATCAAGTGTTTGACATAATAGTTGACGCGCCTCTGACCTTCGATAGCCGTCCTTGACCGCCAAATCAAACCATCTAGGAACGGTTTGATGAGAGACCGAGCATGGACGATGAGATAATGCAAAACGTCAGGATGCCGTTGGAATAAAGCGTCACATCCATAGAAGTACACGGTCCGATCAGCCCGAATGGTAAGCAGATCCTCCCGTCGCACTTGCAGGAATGCAATGCTCAAGCTAGACACATCAAATTCGACCCTGCCAAGCAATAATTTCGAACCACGTGCCTGAAACATCGCACCGGCTACCTTCAAGCTCCCGTTGTCTATCGCCCAGTACAAGGGTGAGATGCTCTGCGTGCCAACTGTGATGTTTAAGATCTGCGAAGCGCGCTTCCCGCGTGGAGCAATGGAGATTGCCTTCTTGAATTCGACGTCGTCGTCGGTCGTAACTGCCTTCATGACAAGCGTAGAGCCTCGCATGGGCCAGGCCAGGATTTGTGTCGACCCTACTTGGCCCTACTTTCAGTCGACCCCGCCCCGCGCCTTCAATGACGGTTCTTGCCAGGATTTTACCGATGAGTGCAATTGACCAGCGGAAGGCCTCGGTTATGGCCTCTGACGTCGAGACCTTCGTGAAGGCCATAGTGACAGCCGTCACGAAAGGTGGGAAGAACTCGGTGGGGATGGACAAACCCACGTGCTTCAGGCCAAGCTCCGAGATCTGCCGGATGCTTTCGTCGGGCTCCTCATAAAGCCGAAGACTCAGATCGATAACCATCTGGGAGATGAAGTAGAGGCGCGTGTTCGACTGCTTGAAATAGTCCTGGCCTGCAGGAGCCAGCTCGAAGAAGCTTTGGTGAACACTTTCACGGACTTGCTGGGCATCTTCCTCCGACAGGTTCTCCAAGAACTTGCCGAGTCGCCTCGTATGTGTCGATGGCTTGCCACGCAACTCCGTCAACATTCTGTCCAAATGCCCCCACAGCCAGTCCCAGGCGACCTCATGCTCGTCGCCCCAGTCTGCCACGCAGGCCTTGAGCGAAGACATGGCCACCGACTTGAATTCCCTGAACTCCACTTGCGCGGAGAACTTGTCCACTCTCAGTGCTAGCGTGCTGCACTCTTCCTGCACACGGGCGGTGTTGGCAATGTTCTTCACCTGCACAATTGCACAGGGAAGGCGAGTTAACAACTCACGCTGCCGCATCGGCACATGCTGGGTCTAACCGAGAACTAGTGGTACTTTGCAGCTTCGCGGCAATGTTGTCAAGCTGCTCAAGTATCAAGTCCATCCAATGCTGACCGGAGTTGTACCCCATCACAGCCGCGTTGAACATAAACATTTCCTGTGCTGGTGGCGGTCCGAGTCAAACGCGACACGGGGATCTATGGCTCCGACATGCTGAGACAATTAAATTAACAGATTGGCTAATGATGGAAAATCTGAGCGTCAAAGAAGCCCGTCGGAACACTGGCTGCATTGCCAGCACCCTCTGCACCTTGGGCTTGAGCCTGGGAATTATCGGGATTCTCTTCGTCGCCGTCCTCCGGAGACTGAGAGCCTTCTTGTTTCTTCTCCGGCTCCTCTTCGGGGTCCTCCGACTTCGTAGCCGTCGCCCAGGAGGAATGAATGATACGCACGCGAACCGCATACTCTCTCCGAATATACATGCATGCACCGCCCACATAATTGATCAGGACTGCGATTCCGTACTTACCACCTGCTGTCACTGTGCCCCCCAGATCCATTTCAAGAAGATCCACGATAGCATCGCGAAAATGTTGGATCTTCTGCCGATTTATGTCAAAATCCATGTGCTGAAAGCCCAGCGTCTCCACCAGAGGCTTCAAAGAGGTCGGATCTCCAGCGTTCGACACGACAGAAGAGAAGCCATTCACAAATTTCGTGGATAATACGGATGTTGGCGTTTTGAAGAGGACTTGCAAACTCGGGTTGACATCGAAAACCGAAGAAAAGATGGCCTCGCCTGCCGCCTGCCGAGATGGATAGTGTTCCAGGAAGGCTTCCCAAGCTGCTTGAGCATCCTCGCAGACATCTGCTGCCAAGTCCAAGTCATCCAGCATCTCGTCGTTAACTTCCTCTGGAAGATCTTCGAGTCCATCGCCTTCGTCGTTTTGGGTCTCACCTTCTGGGCTGAAAATTTGCGCCCTCATCCATCACGCTGTGGGTGGAGCGACTGCTATGAGGCGATGCGAATTTTGGGGCTTTGCCCTGTCCATGTCGTGCAGTGAACACCTGCTTGCAAGTGAGACTTGGGCCACAAGATGGTGATGGAACGTACTTCGTCTTAACGATTCTGCAACATGCTCGGACACTCTCCCCCTGGCCAGCCAGCAGCTAGCATTGCCCGACATGAAGCCGTCGACATGACGCGGAGGGCTTCTGCACTCTGCTCCGGGCCTCCAGTTGTCGGACAGGATCGTGAGCTTGCCATGCTGCTGCAACACGCGGTGGAGCCTGAGATGGTGCTGGAGCCGAGAGACTGCACAAAATGCAAGTCCCAGACTGCGGCTGGAAGCTGAGAAAAGAAGCCCCTCGTCAACAGCTCACTCTTGCTCTCTGCAGCCTCGTCTCCTTCACAGCTCGGAAACAAAACACGCCCTCGACCAATCGCCGTCCAAGCATTCCGCGTCCTGAAAAGTGAGGCGGCTCGGGGAAGTTGATGAAGACGTGCGATCTCAGCAAGGCAGCCCTAACTGCATGATTTCCGCGGTGCGTGGAGTCTCCGGGGCAGGCCATCGCTAAAGGATGCAAGCATGCCGAAGCCGTCAAACTTTGCTCCTGTTCAAACAAGCCTCAGCGCTCGCCGCGGGAACTCTTAGCCGCTATCCATCTACCCAACCCAGCCTTAAGCATAGAGTAATTATGGTCGATTTGGGACTGCCGAGCCGCACCGATGCTGGCTTCAGGTGCATTGGAACAATCCGTCCAGCATCACCACGGAGAAGACAAAGATTCTGTGCCTGGAAACTTGGTAACACCGAAAACTGCAGAGACATTGCACGAGGAAGCCCAGGAGTGACGAAAAGACACTGCCGGCAGGCAGCCTGGCCTTGCGGAAAACCATTCCTGGGTGCCATCCGTCTGCTCGCATTGTTTTGCAGGGCCGAACAACTTAGAATAGCTTGGGTGCATGCTGGAAGTGCAGTAAACACAGCCTAACACAGTCTGCACACGTCTGGCACTTCAAGCCGCTGTTTGCAAGATTCTCAAACACACTCCTACAACCATTTCTTGAGGCTTCTGATGCAACCTGCAGCGAGACGATCTCAAATCGCTGCGTGCTGCAGCATCCGCACGAGCACCGTGTAATTCCTCTCGAGAGGTGGGATCAAGGCTTCTGCTTTCTCCCGCTCCCACCACACGGCTGTACCATTTTGCGCATATTCCCTTGCAATGACCCAGAGTGGGGCACGCATTCGGTATCTCCACATGTCAACTTTCGCGAACTTGGGCAGCTTTCGGTCGTTGAGAGGTCCGTCCGGGAAATATGCTTTGCTTACAGCCGTCTCCGGTGTCAACAGGCTAAGCACCGTGGCATCGCCCTCCAAGACCTTGGCCAAAAATGACCACATCCAAGTTTCACGTCGTTCCAGGTATACTTGGTGAGGCTTGAAGCCCAGAAACCAAATGTTCCAGTCGAGCCTGTAGTGGTAAGGAGCACACAGACATGGACGACGAGTGAGGCTGCCAGGCTTGCAGGGGAACTCCAGCTCATACCATCTCCTTTTATCATGTGAAACCGACACGATAGCCTCATAGCGCTCCTTTCCAACGTTCCCAAAGGCGCCATATGTGTTCACAAGCCGAAACGCTCCAAAGTAAGCATTCATCATCTGGCGCTTCCCTTCCGACTGCAGCAAGTTTTGGACCACAGGTACGGAGAGGTATGCAATGATCGACACGAGAGCTAGGTCAATCGTCCAACGGGCAAAACCACCGAGGCCGAGGCGACACCGCCGGCGGGTAGCACCAAGGCGGGCTTTCGCCGCCCGCGTGCAGAAGACGGAAAGGCAATCATCGTCCAAACATGCAAGTGCTGGCACTATGGTCAAATGGTTCAGGAAGGAAAAGTTTCCGGACAGGGCAATATTGAGCATGAAGAAGACCTGGATGAGCCCACCGAGGCGCCTCAGATGTCGAAGGGGGCCCCAGCCAGGAACTAGGACCAACCACGCTGCATAGAGCTGTACACATATGTCCAAATCCACCCCGGCTGACAAGATGCCTCGCGGCAAGAAGTGCCACAGAAAGGACAAAGGTGATGGGTTGGGCTGCGTCTCAAAATGATACCACAAGCAAGTACGGTCTGTCCAGCAGCTGGATCCTCGCACTTTGATCAGACCAGCACCAGTAGAGATTCGGAAGCAAAGCCAGCGGAAGAGCCAGAGAACTGGCAGTGATGGGCTCGCAGACAAATCCAAGGGGGAGCATATGAAAACAGCGAGAAAGCCTGTTTCAAGCAGCTGGCTCTCCCAGCCGTACCTGTACCAAGCGGTCTCCTCAGCGGAAGTGACAATCGAGAAATAAGACAGCCAGAGAGCTGCAGCAAGAATGGAGGAGTGAAGCCCCATCATCATCGCAAGGCTGCATGCCAGTCCGAAGTAGCTAAGCAACTGCATGCTCTGATCACTCAGCTCTGTGAACCAAAAGATGCTTGGAGCTTCCTGGAAACCTTGGAGAGCTGTCACCGTTTTCTTATGCTCTTCCCAGCGCTGTGCAACGGGGGTCAATCCTTGCGAACCCATCAATGCCAGGTTCTGATCGGCTGCCACCTTGAAGGCGACAAAATACATCAGGCCCAAAAGCCGAAGAATTATGGACTTCGTCAGCATGAAGCTCTGTCCCAAGAGCTCGCCGTGAAGCTTCGTCTCTGAATCCTCGGCATCCGTGCTTGGCGCAGTCGCAGTTGCCTCCTGCTCGGCCTGCTCATGCACACGCCGCCGCATTGCGTGTAACTGGATGTAACTTGGGGAAGTCTCCCTGAGCCGGAAATCGGATCGACGGGCAGCCCATGACAACCCGTCTTCACACTCAAGCTCAGCGAATTGATTTACTAGCTTCGTTTGACTGGCATGCGACAAGTCTTTCAAGAGAGGTATGCAGCCGCTACACAGAACAGCTGCTGCCCAGAGGCGGCTGAAAATCTGGTGCACGCGATCGTGCCGCAGCTCCAGCGCCATCCAATTAGCCAGCCCCTGCTCAGCCTTCAAATCCAGACGCACAGACTTCCGAAATCAAACGTACTTTTAGCTTGTTGTCATGTCATGTTATGTACATACATACATACATACAGACAGACATACATACATACATACATACATACATACATGCATACATACATACATGACGTGGCGTGACGTGATGTGAAATGACATGACATAATATGACATCCATACATACATACGTGTATGTACATACATATTCTAGTGCATGTATATATATATATATGTAAGAATGCAATGTAAAATGATATAACATGAGATCATATATAATAGGATATGGCGGCATGGAATAAACCAGAACAAAACAGAACAGAACAGAACAGAATAGCATAGACTATAGTTTACTATAGTATAATGTAATATAACAAAATCTCATATAATAAACTACAATGCAATGCAGTATAATACGAGGAAATGTTGCATACTGTAGCATAGTATAGTGTAACATAACAGAGCATTACGTAACATAGAAACATGAAATATAATGTAATATAATGTATAGAGTAGAATACAATAAAACCAAGACAATGTATCATATAGGAGTGTGTGTGTGTGTGTGTGTGTGCGCGTGTGCGTGTGTATCTATACACAAACATTTTTAGCGAGGGCATTGAGTGCATATGTACATATGCCACATAAATATACAATGAAAATGATAAAGTAACTCATAACAACCATCAGAATAATGGAATTACATAGTTACACATTTCACAGATTGATATCTTGATAGATTGATTGGTGTAAAGATAGATTGATAGATTGACGGATAGATAGACGGATAGATAGATGGATAGATAGGCAAGTAGATAGGTAGATAGATACATAGACAGATCGATCCCTGCACAGAATGAAGTTTTATAAAGCTTCACAACAGCACGCGGCAGCCTTGGCTTGAGCCACGACCTTGGGCGCAAAGGCACTCGGAATCTTCCTCTCTTCGACGCAAGCTCAGACCAAGACCCAATCACCATTCCCAGAGCATATCTCCATCTTCAAGGGCAGGGATGGATCGCTGTGATCAATCTTCCTGACGGAAGAACTCTTATTCTGCGACGACAGCATATTGAGTTCTTGGGACGACGCGGGACTCCCGAGAAGTGTCGGCCCAAAGGATATGAGTGAGAAAGAGAGAGCGAGCGAGCGAGCGAGCGAGCGAGAGCGAGAGAGAGAGAGCGGAAGAAGTAGCCGCTCAGCTGCTTGTTTCGGAAGCTCTTTAGTGGAGCTATTAGGGGTCGACTGGCGACCCACAGGCCATTGGCCCACCCATGCCCCGCAATTGTGTTGATGAGTGGACGGAGTTGGGCCCCGTAGTGCGGCACAGACGACATATCGGGCTCTGATCTTTAAGTTGTGAGCCCCCACCCCTAACACTAAACACAATAACCAACCCCGGCCTCGTCTCCGCGCCCCTATAGCACTCATCCGGAGGACTCACAACTTTCGGCTTGTTGGTATAGCCCCCACGTGCAAGCTTATAGTTTGCTACAATACATTTAATTTAACCTCAGCTACAACGAGAAAGTACATGTGGCACGCTCCCGCTGGAGCATGCTGGGCTGGAATAGACGAAGTCGGGCCCTTGGCTGCTTGGAGTGGTTGCATACCCGTCGCTTTGCACATCGAAGTTGTCTCGCAATGAGCTGACCCCTCGCGCTCTTTCTCTCTCTCTCTCTCTCTCTGTCGCTGGAGGCTTGCGAGATGAAATGCATGATGTCCACGCGAGAGAAGACAAGCACCGTAGTTTCGTCGTAACAGTGAGAGACTCTGCAACGGTCAGTGTTTGTGGAAAGGCATCACTTCCACAGACCGAGATCTGGCACGGCAAAGCGGCAGAGCTGTCTTTCTTGCAACACGTCTCGAACATGCCCCTCCAAGCCTTGCATGAAACGAACTGAAGGAGACAGTGTGATAGTTAACTACACCGACAGTCAACTCTTCAAAGCTGTTGCAGCTGCGCTTTGTATATACATGTGAGATCGATACTCCTGTTCCGTGTGAGCTTTTTCTTCTGCGTGATCACGCAGAGTGGGCATGGGGCAAGGAAGAGCCCGTGTAGATTCTGCTTTTTGTCGCAGTTCAAGAGCAGCCGCAAGCATACGCCATTGCCTTAAGTCTCGAAGTGAGATTGCATGCTAAGAGGAGCGAGGCTGGAAAGCCGTGGTGACCCCTGTTCTTTAAAGAATCAAACCCCGGTCCCAACCCACGCATCCTCTCGCCCCCGCTGGGGGCCAACTGTGCTGAAATTGGGTGGTCCACCGGTTGTCTCCTTTTCAGCTCGCTCTCTCCCTCTCCCTCTTCCTCTCCCTCTCCCTGTCTCCCCCCCTCTCTCTCCCCCTCTCGCTCCCCCTCTCTCTCTCCCCTCTCTCTTTCTCGCTCTCGCTCTCGCTCTCGCTCTTTGAATCTTTCCACAGGGTTGTGGTGGGGAGTTGCCTCCCCACCGCGGGCTCTCTTTGTCTCTCGCGCTCTCTCCCTCTCTGTGTTCGAGTCCCTCACCGTTTTTCGCCTTCATCTCTGGCTGTCCCATCTTAAAGCCCTGTTTCAACCACTCGCGGACACGAACGACGTCCTCTTCCCACAGACGCCCGATGCAAATATCTGGCAACTGCGCAGACGCAACTTCTTCGAAAAGCAGCGGCGGAAGGATGCAAGCGCATCCTCCTCTGAAAGTCCCGCCCGGAGGAGCATCTCTCCTTTGCAGGGACGGTACCGGCGCATCAAGCCATGCAGCCAAGAAAACAGCATGGGCCCTGGCTAAAACAGCTGTTGATGCCAGCTTACGTCTACGTCATCATGCACTATCTTACACGCTCTTTATCTTGCACCGCAGCATACGCTTCATGTCGCCACGCTGCCCAGTCCGAATGATCGAACAAGCTCGTCGACACACCACTGCGCTAGCTCAGCCTTCTCCGCACACGACGAGCCGCCTCGGGTGGCCACCGTTGCACAAGAAAAATCCAGGCTTTCTTTGATGCAAGCATGCCTGCAGGCATGCTTTCACGGACCAAGTCTCAGACAAGCTGTGACATTCTGTGACGAAGTTGCTAAGCGGGTGACAACAGAAATCTCCCTGCAAATGTATTGCAACCATATGCTCGATGTTGAGGCGAAGTGCACTAGGTCAGGCTCAAAGTAAGTATAAGTACACACTCGCGGTGCCGGCGGCAACTTGATTGCAAGGCATGTAATGTTGGAATCAGCATGAGTACAGGTATGCAACGCAAGAGATTAAGAGCTCATGCTAAGAAAAACCGTGAAAGACGAAGGGAAAAGTTCCTTCCAGAAGTTGTAGCAACAATCAGTCATAATTATTAGTCCTTACTCATGCCCTGGATCATTCTTCGAGCAAGTCGCCGAAAAGAAACGTGCGACAGAGGAATGGATACGGCTCAGGCTGCTGTTCTTGATGGAGGAAACGGGATATCCGTCGAATCTCTCTGGAAGCTTCTTCACGACTCAGCTCTTGAAACAGGCCATGGCTTCCGCTGCCGTCATCTGACGTATAAAACTCCTGGCAATTCTGTGCCGACCTATGCTGCTGACCTTGGGGAAGTATCATCCTTACTCGGGCTGCAACGGTCCTCTGCCCGGTTGAGTGCGCGCCGGCATAAGACCCATCTTCCAAGCATCGCTGCGGCATGGGCCAGCGATAGGCTCATTGCAGCCATCGCACCTGCCTTTTCTCGCTGCAGCCTCTCCTGCCCGAGCATCCAGGCGTCCAGTTCTCGAAGTCTCTAAGGACAGAGGTAAAGCAATTGATAGAACAGCTCATGTTGACGCTCAGGCCTGGATCTCAGGCGATGCTTCCAGATCGTGGCTGAACTTGCAGTTGACCCCCTGCCGAGTTGATTCCAGCATGCGCTTGCTCTGCCGAAGACATGGACACACCGACAATGGCCTTTGTACACGTTCCAGATGCCCAGAACTTACAAGCTTGCTGGCCCATCTTCTTCGCCCCACTGTCTTCCATGCTCGGGGTGGCCTTCTGCAGCTTCCTTGGGCAGTGCTCTGCAAGAACCCAGCTCTTTCAGCACCTGTCACATCGTTACGTATGCAAACTTTGCGGCAAGTGTCCTCATCAGATCCTGCAACAGCTGTTATGCGGGGAGTGGGCAGGTATGTACAAACCCGACATCTGCGGTGGATGGTAATAGGATGTAATAGGGGGTGACAGATGATGGCACGACATGCTGGCGCCTCGGTCCTTCATCGTGTTAACCCGGAGTCCCTGGCTAAAGAGCTGCACGACATAGCGCAGACTTGTAAAATCTGGGACGAGCTGCCAGCTGCTCTCCTTACGGCCGCACTTCATTGATTGGCAGGGAACTCTGATACGGCTGTCATCCAAATGCTCAGCTATACACCATTTCACTGAACACTTCGCTTGCCATCGGCACGTCACCATGGTAAACGCAGCCTTTCGTGCAGAAGGACAGCAAATCAAGAACCGCCTGGCAGGATGGCTCCGTCCTCGAAAGAAGGCATTGACGGCCCGAGCATCGGGTGCGACGCCCTGCTCTACCATTTCGTCCAAAAGCTCCCGCGCTGCACGCAGATCACCTGCTTGGCAGTAACCTTTCAGCAGGATCGTGAAGATACCTCGAAGCAGTCAGCGAAGCTCGGGGTGCTGCGCTGCCAAATGCCACCGCATGCGAAGCTTCCGACAGGGCCGTGCGGGCGAGCTTCTCACATTTGGTTTGATGCCGCGCGTCTTCATATTTGACATGATTTCCAAAGCTCCCGCAAGATCCGCGGTGCGCACGTACGCGTTAATGAGGCTGGAGAAAGTGTAAACGCTGGGCTGCAGGCCCTCCTTCCTAAGATGCACCAACTGCTTGATCTCAGAAAGACTCCATGTCGCTGTACGTCGCTATTGGGCTGCCGCCAACTGGCTCGAACTTCTCAAAGATGCTGATGGCTCGTTGCAGTTGCTTGCTTTTGGCGAACTCTGCAATAGTCTTCGTCAGAGCCTCAATCGACGTCTCCACGCAGAAGCAGAAAATCCTTGAGGCCCTTGTGGTTTCTGCTTGGACATGCACTGTATCACAACAGCCTTCACTTGACAAGATGCTTGCGCACGCAAACTCTTCTCCGGTGTCGTGTGTGGGGAACCTGTGCATCGCTTTGGAGGCCATGCCGAGAGACGTGTCACAAAATGTACGCCTACCAGAGCGCCTGAACCTCCGCCTCGCCCCCTGCCGCGCGGGCGTGGTCGGGAGCGCCACTTCTGCGGCATCGCATCGCGTGGAGCTGCGACGACCGCGCGACATGACAGCACATCACAAGGCCGCAATATGAAAGGCTCTGATTGCCGAAACGGCTTTGCCACCTAGCTAGCCAATGCTAGCCACTGAAATCAAGTGAGAGACCTTACAGAACCTTACAGCTTACGGTAGGCTGCCCCTACATGGCTTCGGCACGATGCATCGTTTGACAGATCCTCAACAGGACAGATGCCATCAAGCTCCCAGCCATCAAGTGCTGCCTGCAATGTGGACTCCACGGACAGGAGGCCTTAGCACTGCGTACTGGCAGACTCGCAGTGACTAGCAAACTGGAAAAAGCAACTTGCTCGAGTCCTTGAGCTCGCGCCTTTTCTCAGCATCTTACGGCCCGCCCCTTCCAGCCCGCGCATGTTTTAAACATGAGCAAGGAAGCTGTTGCGGGAGAGTCGTCGTCAAGAAAACTTGACATTTTGACATCACATCGACATCACATCGTCTGACTCCTCAGCCTCCTCAAAGCTCTCGGCATCTCCGTCTGGTGGCGGGCTGCCAGATGAAGGGCAAACCACTACGAGCGTGAACATACTGGCCCAATCATCGAAGTTCATCCAGAAGCTTCCATCGTTTCCTCGGTCCAAAGACCCACAAACCACCGCCGGAAAGCTGACAAGGCATTGAATCCTTCACGCGAAACAGCAGTGCAACTGAGGTGAAGGCGAACTTGCGTGTCAAGCTTGGCCATGAGGTTCGGATTCCGCTCCCACTTCTCACTACTGTCACTCCAGTCTCCGGACCACTCGCTTCTCCCCCAGGGATTCCGAAGCAAAACGAGATGAACCTCCGTACCATCGTCCTGTTTCTCAGACACAACATTGAGGACAGCATAGTAATGCCTCAAATACAGGCCGTTGCCTTTGGCCGCTTCGGCACCTCCTGATGGCGAAGCGATCATGCAGGAGAGGATATGATCCTGATGCCGGTGGCTCTGGAGCAACTCGAAGAGCTGGTTCGTGTCGTGTGTGTCCTTGTTTTGCCATTTCCACCAGCTGCTTCGGGGATTCCGCGCCCCACGCTCCAACTGCTTCTGCTGATGCATGAAACGTCTTCTCCAATTATTCTCCGACAGCTTCTCAAACGACAGGACATGAATTGCACCGGTGAGAACTTGGAATGCCCAAGCCACACCTCCTCCGGAGAGAGCCCCGTAGCTTCCGCAGAATTTGGCCATGGCTTTTTCGATAAGTTGCACCCAAATCTCTTCACCCAATGGCTTGGCGAAGGTGGGCACCGCAACTCCGTTCTTTATGTTGCACGGAATGAACTCGTTAACTGTAGTCTCTGTCCAAGCTTCCGTGCCGATGTCGAAAAGCTGCACCACGTACTTGCCTTCTTCATTCAGCTGCCTGGAACTGGGAAACAAGGACTTGATGCGGGACGGGTAGTCGGCCAGAGAGCAAAGGCACGACAGCAACCAGCAATCCCCCAGGGAGCCTTGAACGATGTCCTGCGGCCGGATCTGATCGAACAGAACAGCCTCTGCTGGATCTCCCAAAGCACGAGCTCGAACCCAGACTTCGGGACTCCCAACGTTGAACTTTGTCGAGGACTCTCCGATGCTGGAGTTGTCATGAGGGAACTCACCATCTTGGAACGCGTTGGGGTCATCCTCCACTCCTGCAAACTCCGATCGCGATGACCACCGGTAACTCCATTTCCACGCCTTCCCTTTCTCTGCAACTTCAAGCATAACCTTGGAAAACTCTTCGCCGGGGCTTAACAGAAACTCGGCAGGATTCCCGAGAGGAAAAGCCATGTTTTTGCAGCCGTTGAAGGTGAACGTGAAGCGCTTGCTGACACGATCCGAGGAGTTTATGACGTGCACGGTGACATTTTTCTGCTTGGTGTCTTGGACAGCCTTCACAGCTGTCTTCTGTGCTGTAAGCCAGGAGATGAACTCATGCACCTCAAATGTCTGAAAAGCATGAGCACAGAACAAATACAAAACAAGAATGAAACAAAACGCCGCTGCCCTCCAGCATCTTAGTGACTTAAGCGAAAGCTGCCATGCGTGATCCACGGCACCTGGATGACTCCATCCTCAGGCTCAGGATTTAAACAAACAAAAAGCAGAGCACCCCGCTCTGCTTCCCGACACTTTCCAGCTCTGGCCCGGCCTTGTTGCTGTCTGCAGCTTGGAAGACGCTCTCTGCATCCTTTTCGGATATGCCGACCTTGCCGAAGACGTTCTTCATCTCGGCCTCTGACAACACACCATCTCCAGACAGGTCGTACCTGGGCTTGCAGTATCGACGATCCGGTGCCCAATCATGTGGAATTCTGCACTAGCACCGGAATTTGTGTCAAGAGGCCTGGCGAAAAGCTCTTGCAGACGTCGTCTGCCGGCCATGTGGTCCAGTGATTTGTGCAGCGAATTAATGGCCGGTGCTAGAGCTTCTTCTGAACGTTCACGCACACTCTTCTGTTCTGCCACACAATCAAGCAGACTGCATCACAAACAAGGGAACTGCAAGGCATCAACTTCCTTGTCTTGAGAGAGCTGCGCTGAACCTCCATGGATTGGTTCTGGAGCTCTTGCACCTTCAGAAATCGAGAAGTTGGAGCACGATGCGTCAACTCTCCAGGCATGTCCCCATGGCAACAAGACTTGCATCTTGGGTGACCAACCGCTTCATACTTCTGCTGCTGCGCCGACACTTGCACCTCCGACAGGCGCAACATGAAACGGATGAACTTGCTTTCACCTTCTTTCTCATACAGTGTCTGCGTCTGAACATGCGTGACTATAATGCATGCGCTTCTCGTCTGAGCCTCATGTATGCCTGTGCGCATGTGTGTATGTATGTATGTATGCCTGCATGCACGTAAGTACATGCTCATGCATTACTGCTTGTACACCCGTGTGTTGCCTTGGCAGGAACACACAGATGCATGCATGCACAGATAGGTAAATAGACATCTGGATGGATGGGCTGGGTTGCTGGGCTGGGCTGGGCTGGGCGGGTGGTGGCGGGGTTGGGGTGGGTTAGGTTGGGGTGGGGCGGGGTGTTTACTCAAACTCTAAACGCCCCCTGGCGGTCAGGACTTGCAGTCTTATGACCCGAGAGTGATGCTGAATCTGATGACACACGTTATTACTCTGATGAAGAAGGCGAGTTAGTGATCGACGAAAACGACTGGACTCTGTTGACAGAGGAACAGAAGTTGTGTTGCAATACTGGATCGTTTTCTATGCCGAGATGTCTAAGCGGTAGTCCGGTAAACATCAGAGAAGTAACTTCGCATGAAAAGTCTGACAAGACCCGGTATCGTCTTACTCGCAGAGGGTGGGGTGGGGTGGGGTGGGACGGGACAGTGCCGTGCCGTACATGTCTATGTCTCTATCCGTCTGGGCGCCTCGTGCAGCTGGGCCCTCAAGCTGCCCACTTCTGCTTCATGCTGGGTCTTCAGCCTTGGGCCGAAGCCGCGCATAGGCCAGGAAGAGGAGAGGCTGAGGATTCAGGGCCTTCTTAGGCTTGCTTGGTCTGGGCAAAGCGCTCTGAGCACGACTGCTCGGCTTCGGCGGCAGCGGCGGCAGCTTCCTGGAGCTCCTGAGACCACGGCTTTTGCGGCCCATCCCTCCGAGCTCCTCCGAGTTCTGTCCTTCAGCTGCAGCTGCTGCATGGAGGCCTGCTCGCCAAGCTGGTTCAGTCGTGGTTCCGTGCCAGGTCAAAGGAGCTAGGGAGCACCGCCCTCCGAAAGCTTTTTCTGCACCCTGCACAAGACCTACTTTACCTGCATCTTCATTGGCAGGCAGAGGCAGGCCATCGAAGCATGGCTCAGTCAACCACCATGAGTCGCACGGATCGGAACCAGGCTCTGCCGGGCCCGACTATAATCGGGGTGAACCCCGGCACGCTTACATCTGTGCTTTCGCACTGCTTGCAACAAGCCCTCGACTTCCAAGAAGTGCGATATGACGGACTGCCGGTCATGACATGCTGAAACATTCAATGCTCGACCTGATGCAGCCTCGCCACGGACCATTGACATTACTAAACCCTTTTCTTCACAGCCGGCTGGTTGTTCCAGCAGCTTGTTTCAGAGTTCGGTCCTGGCCAGAGCGGCTGGAAATCTAGCGAAACTTTGCAGATCGCCGTTGCTCTCTGCGAATTACCCGCGGCTCGTCCTGCTGCAGGATACTAAGTTTGTGGCTAAGCAAACTGCTGAAGGAGGAAGTCGTACCTCGGCAAAAAACTGCTAAAGCTGTAACTGATCTCTCTGCTTCTCAAAGGCAACGCTCTCGCCAAGCTGCAAGGGATCTAGTTGGTTCTTCTTCGCCGAAATTCTGCATGTTTGTATCGGGCAAGGAGCATGCTCCTCCCAGGGCGGACGGGGCAGGCCAAGTGCGGCTCACGACACGGGTGTGTGCTTTCTTTCCAGCAGTCCAGAAGCTTGAACTTCTCGCCATCTACGCCCAGGTAGCCTCAGTTCGCCGCAGTTTCGGAAAGGAGCCGGCACAGGAAGTCCGCATCAACCTTCGGGCGCCCTGCTGTCTGCCTGATCTTGCCCCTCCAGAGTCGCTGCACGCGACACACGCATCTGTTCAATCTCCCGTTCGATTTCTTCCACCTTCGACTAACCAAGAGAGGACCGAGCAAGAATGCATGACACCAGCCCAACTCAAGGCCCTGACGATGAACTTCTCGGTGCGTGCAGATGTCAAGTCACTCTTGTTGCAGGCCACCAGCATGGGAGTGTGAAGCTCTAGGACATCCTGCTCGAAGAGTGCACTACGCCGTCATGGGCAATGTGCTGCGATGGTAGACGCAGTATGTTCCGCACGGGGTGAGTGAAGAGCTCGTAGAAATGCTCTGCCACGTCCTGGCGACCCCGCATCATGTGCAGAGAACGGCGTGGTGACAGCTGACTCGGCATATCGCACTGCAAAGAGCTTCACATAGCTTCACCATTGGTGTCACGTAACCGTGTGGGATTTGGGATGCTGGCAAGCACTCCGTCGATCTCCCATCCTTCAGCTTGGGCTTGTCTTCTGCATCGACCAAGTAGATGATACATCGAGCCTTCATCTGACCACGGCACATGCTGCAGCTTCTTAAACCTTTGACTGAAACGGCTGGTTGGCCTCCTTCACCATGTCATTCGCCTTCCCTCTCATTCGCAGATGGCCGGGGAAGTCGACCACCTGAAGGAGATTGTGGCAAACGGGTGCTGCAACGTGGGGCCCCGCAGCCTCCAGGGGCCCAAGCTTCTGATCCGCTGCCTGCATGCACATGTGCAAAGGAAAGACTCCTTGAATTTCTGAAGACCCATGTGCTCCGAGCACAGCTGGCACCTCGCCGGCCTTGATCTCAAAGCTGTCGCGTGCAGGCGCCAAAGAGGACACGGTCTGCACCTAATCGACACAAGGATTTGTCGGCAAGATGCACAGAACAGGCTTCGCTGCCTCTTCCCCATCACGGAGTCGGAAAAACACCGAGGTCTTGCCCGAGCCGCAAGGGCCTCGCAATTCTACATGTAGCTAGGCCAAGGAAACTCGCTGCCAGCAAGTCGCCTAAAATGAGAGCTGCATTTCCTCGTGAGCGCCGTGATCGAATCCCCGAGCCACTCACAACCTGCTTGGCAGGTGCTCCGCACAAGGCCATGCAATCCAACCAAGCTTCGGCAAGCTGCTTGAAAAATCTGCAGCGTCACGTAGATGCTGACGAGAATCAGCAGGAATGTCAAGACCTGGAGGGACCGGGAGGCTGGTGTGGAAGAGGCTCGCTGCTGGCTGCTGTCTCTGCACTTTCGGAACTCTGGGCCAAGGACCGATGCCGTGCTGGACCCCACGCCGAGGGAGGCTTCGAGGGCGCCCGAAGCCTTTCGAAGGTAGTCCATCATCCTGCTGCAGTAGCCGGATGCAAAGGAGGCAAAGGCACTACTCAAACATACCTTGGCTCCGGAAGTTCCGAACAGTAAGGCGAGGCTGCAGGTTCAAGAGAATCTGATTGGTGCAAATGGCAGGTGGCATGTCGCAGCAAGGCCTTGGTATAATTCGAAAACTTGCCCGCACGGGCGCTGCTTGAGCTCAAGCTGCGGTGCAGGCGCGTGCCAAGTTCCTCCAACCTTCACTGTTTCGCAGGCGAGCATGTGGCAGACACATGCACACACGAAGCCATCGGAACAGCCTGAAGAGACACAGCTACCCAGATTCCATTTCCCAAATTGACTGTCTCTGCACATGGGGACATGGATACCCACACATTCGATCGAGGCATCAAATCAAGCCGTGCGGATCTCTCCTTCTTTCGTGGGGCTGCTCGCTTTCTCTCGCTCTCTCTCGCCCTCTCTTCGTGACCTGCCCGCGCAAATTCAGCAGCTCGTCCTTTTGCGTCTGTGACCTATGATTGCAGCCAGCAGTCCTCCGACACTGAGGCCGGATGCAGTTTTTTCAAGCTGGGGCCCCTGCAGATTTTGCCTCGGCAGGTATAGGCTAGCATGAGGGAAGCCCGGCAGCTTTCTCTCGTCTCCCTTCCCTTCTGACTGTGGCCCTGGCTCACGTGCTAGAGCCCCACCTCAGGTGGAAGCGATGCATTTCGGCTGTCCCTCTGCTGCCTACCATGCCTGGCAGACATCGCAAGCATGCAGCACCTTTTTGTCCACACCGCCACATCAGCACCATGTATGGGTCCCGAGCCCTTCATATCCGTCTGGCATGCTACAGCACAGAGTCTAGTCACTAGTCTATCACAGTCCATCAGCATCTGTCAGTAATAGGCAGGGGTCTTTGGCTTCAGAAGATCTGCTTTGTTGGAACTCTTCCTCGAGTCTCCGAGGCAAACAAAGAAGCGAATATTGAACTCTCCGCAGACTCCGCAGAAGGCCCCAAACGTGCTTGCCAAGCTTCCGGGCCAACCACATGACGTTCAAAAAGTCAGAGGAACGGCCCAAAGCGGCAAGGCCCAGGTTTCCACTCTGAGGCCTCCGGCTTTGCAAGTTGAGCGAACATAAAGGGCCGGTGTGAGGACCGGATAAGGTCGTTAGTGCAGCTCTGGCGCGGAGGCGCGAAACGCCGCAATTTTCCGCCCCACTTTCCGCGGAAGCTGCGCCCAGACACGAACTTGTAGACGGCTTTGGCATAGTGTTTGCGGAGGCCGGCGCCTGTTGCTATCTCTCACGCTCGCGAGATGTAGCATCTGCAACATAGACACACAAAGAAACGCTTAGAGTCTGGGAGCTTCGGTCCTAGATGTCCTGCGTCCTAGCTTCTGTACTGCACTCATCTTTGACATCTTTACATGTATCTAAGACAGCAAACAGCACGTCGCAGCCAGCGCACTCGGAGGCAGGATC